ACCTGCGCCTCTGTCACAGCAGTGGGGACACTAACAAGCTGATGATGATAAGTGGTGCTTGTAGCCAGTAATTGGTGATGGATCGGTATTTCCATTTTGCGGAATTTGCAATTTTTGGAAACTGTGTTGCTATAAATTCTCACTTAAAATGTTATAAAACCAAAATGAATCTGAAAACCATAATTTGCTGAAAAGGATTTGGAACACCACGAGTCGGTCTTTTTAACAGTTGTAAAAATATTGGTGAGTACGACTCTGGTTTCGTTGTGTTTTAATTGCATTTTTGTCGGCAGTATTGCATAATTTAACCTTGGTCTCCTCTGTTTTTTTTATAACTTGTCTCCTTTTTTTGGGTTCCGTTCCGTAGCTTAAAAGGAAACATGGAACCCTTTATAGGATAACTTTGTTGTCCGTCTTTATGTCAAGACCCTTTATCTGGTTAACGCGTGGATGTATTGAGTTGAAATTTAAACCATATCGGTATTCAGGTCGACGGTTTCTTGAAGCTGTGAAAGAATGAAACTTTTGAGTTGACGTAAATAATAATACGGCTGTTTATGTTGCGTACTTTGAAATTTGTACGGAACCCTCGGTGGGTCCGTATCGCATTGGTCCGGTTTTTTTTATTATTTATTTGCCACTACTACTCGAGAACAATGAATCTCGGTTACTTAAAGAATCCTAAAATTTTCTATTGTAAAGTTATATCATAAAAAAATGAAATTTGGAAAAGGGAGACTTTCGAAGATGGAACTACGAAATTACTACATTTGTTTTTGCTTTTGTTTCTAATCTGTCATTTATCATTCATATAAACCATGTCGATAGTGTTCAATATTAATTATTCAAGCTGTAATCATGTCGCTTACACCTAAAGAATAGCTGAACCAGGTGTACCACAGCACGAGAAGATCGATACTTGGTGAACACCATGCTTCGAAATCGTTTTCTCACAGGAACTGAAATTACAAATCAGTTTCAACGCCTCGGAGGAAGTAACCCAAGCGCATGGATAGTAAGACGACGACTTGCTGAAGCTAGCTTGAAACCACTTAGACCTGCAAACGGTCCTAAACTGAAGCGTGGGCATCGTATTTTAAGATTAAGATATGCCCAGAACCACTTAAATGCCATGCTCTCCGACGAATCAAAATTTGTGCTCTACAAGCACGATGGAAGACAGAGTATATAGAAGACCTGTTAAAAGATTCAAGCAAGCATGCATCGAAGTAAAAGTAGCCTACGGTGGTGGGTCTGTACTTGTGTGGGCCGGAATTTCTTCTGAGAGTCGCACAGAACTGGTGTTCATAGAAAACGGCTATTTACCTAGCGAAAGATATGTGAAAGGAATCTTGGATAAACACGTTGGTCCATTTATGGGTGAGGATGCTATTTTTATGCCTGACAATGCCCGACTTCATACAGGTTGGATTGTGAATGACTACCTTCAAGAGATGAACATTACTCGTATGGAGTGGCCAGCATATTGCAACCCGACCGAGCATGCTTGTGACGAGCTAGGGAGATGCGTAAAACAACGAAACCCTCCCCCAATTGCGCTTCGTGAGCTCAAAATTGCTCTCACAGAGGGATGGGACAAAATCCCCCAAAATCGTATAAGAATCTTGGTGTACAGCATGCCAAACCGGCTAAACACAGTAATTGAAACACGAGGAGGCAATACGAAGTATTAAAATTCAAGAAAATCGTAATGTTGTTCATAAATGTCATTTTTCCTATTTTTGTTTTAAGCCGAGATCAGCCAGTTTTTTTCTTTATGTATTTGTTTGTAAATAAATTATACTACTTTCATTTAAGGAGTATTTATTTGTCTATTGTGGCGACTCCTAAATTATACTACTTTCATTTAAGGAGTATTTATTTGTCTATTGAAAACAATTTATTTCATTAAGCTAGCATTCTTAGTTTGCGAGATTTTTAGGATTCTTTATGTGGCCCGGATTTATTGCACTCGAGTGTATTAACAGTCGCAATGGCTTGAGATTGTGTTTTCATTTTGGTAGCGGCAAATCACTTTTCAACAAATACTCTCTTTCCCTATGTGGAGCCTACAAGCCACTCCTTGCGATTTTATACTCGAACGAGTTGATATTTATTTATACCTGCTTTATGTTAGTCCTTGCCGCGGTTTTCCTTAAGACTGGTCACAAATTTAAGGTTAATTTCAAACTGCATATGTGGTGAATATTGCAAATGTTTCAATGCCTATTACTAGAATGTATTGAGAAACATTTTGTGTACGCTTATGACTATGTGAATACTAAGTCTACTACGACATCGTCTTGAAGAAGTTCTTTTGTTTTTAACACACACTAATTAGCCTAGCACCAAAGATATATTCTGTGACCAAAGTAAGCACTATAAGGCTTGTGTTATGGGACGCTAGGGAACGGATAGAATACATATACTATACATATAAAAGTATATTTTTATAGAAAATACATACAAACATCCATGACTGGAGTACAAATGCTCGTATTCATCACACAAACATCTGCCCCCACCGGGATTTGAACCCGGGACCTCTCGACGTACAAACCACTCCGCCACGGAGGTCGTCATTTAAACAGTGATTATTGTTAAATTAATATAATATAAGTGATAAATTTTAGTTATTATATTAATTAGCATTAATAGATGTCGTTGTTCAAACTTTGATCAAACTTATTTTTCGTTGTATGAATTTATATAATTTAACTCATGATCATTAAATGTTACTTACTTAATGTACCCATAATAATTACAATAAATTATTATTACAAGTGTTTACTGACTTTTATTAGAATATGTTTTATCATAAATTATTTTTAACGTCGCACCAATTGTTAGAAAAATATAATAATACATAGTTAAATAACAACAACTCTTTTATGTGACGCCTAAGTTATGATTGTTATAAATAACTATGAGATATAGGTTATCCATAACATTAAAACGTTTATGTTATGTACAAATAGGTATTGCTCAAAACAAAAAAAACTATCCAAGCGTGAGTCTGGTCTCTCGCTATTAGGGTTCCAACCTCACATTATTTAAGCTACCTGACTGACCTAAGAAATAATTAGTCGTCCTTTCCGAGCTATAGACAACGTAAAAAACCGCGAAAGGAAAATCACTAATTTGTTTCCGACATAACTTACAAAGTACACGCTTTTCAGTATTTGTTTGTTTAAATACAGTATATGGGACATCGTTAACAAAATTTCACATTCTTAACTAGCTTCGATTTTGAGATAGACATTAACGTTTTGATATTTTTGTATGGATCAAATCTAGTTTTATTTAAATCGAGGTTTAGCAAATTTGCTGCAAGTGGACCCTAGGTTTGGAAACGAATACTTTTCCTACGTACAAGTTGACTTTTTAAACCCTTTCTTATTCCTTGTGAGCATTAAAGTCCCACCAGCAGTTTTATGGAAATATTCCAGCTTTTATCTAGGAGTATATGTATAGAACTCAAAGGTGACTGACTGACATAGTGATCTATCAACGCACAGCCCAATCCACTGGACGGATCGGGCTGAAATTAAGCATGCAGGTAGATGTTATGACGAACGCATCCGCTAAGAAAGGATTTTGATCAATTTTACCCCCAAGGGGATAAAATAGGGAATGAAAGTTTGTATGAAACTTTGTCAATTTTAAACCGATCGGGCTGAGACTTTGCATGCAGGTATAAGAAGAATCATAGATGAATGTCATTGTGTATAATACAAGCCTGAGAACAAAAAACTGTAGTCTACACTTCAGCTCTACACCGAAGCGAAGCGAGGGCGGGCCGCTAGTTACATTATAAATGTTAATTCAGACTAAAGTTACACAACTGCGTTAACGCTAACTTTTCAGTGTTTTGAGTTAACTAGCTTCTCCGTGCAAGTACTCATAGACGTAACCTATTACTATAAACTTACGTTTGTAACATCCAGAATGACAATAGCGTGTGTCAGTATAATTTTCAAGCAGATTACCTTGTTATTATTTGTGACTCGTTTAAAAGACGATTCATAGTGCAGTTGGCGTTTTCCTTCCTGGCATTAATTGTAATGCCTTTATGAATTTACTTGCCATTAATATAATAGTGCCTATTTTTTTGCCTCGCCACTTATCATTCTATAATTTCGTCGAAGTTGAACTCGGTACAAGGTTATTAATGCGAAAATAACTGTAACGGTATCTCACCTGAACCCCCGATTGTGGTAGTTTTTCAACTTTTGACCTCGTCCCTTATCATTATGTAATTTCATCAAAGTTAAACTCGGTACAACGTTATCAATGCCTATTATTATTATTCTATTGTGTACTAAACAGGACAACTTCAGTAACCTAAGCAATTGGCTTTACATATAGTATCAACGAATCCAACTCGAAGCTACAATGCTAAATAGCGCAAGAGAGCGCAAGTTATTCTTGCAAGTATTTCACGTCTATATGGTATTTTTATTCTGATGCACCATTTACTCTCTGGCACTTAGGAGACACGTTTACTGTCGTCGTGTTATAGTTTATACAATTCGAAATCATTATTTTCTCAGCCAACAAGTCATTATGTTGCTCTGTATTTCCTATAAGTAGAGTTTAATAAGTTCATTAAAATCGATAAAAGTGTAATTTGAACTTCATAAATTGTTGGCTTGCATGCCTTAGATCTACTGCTCCTCGCATCATGAACCTTATTTACTTTATATACGCTGGAGAATAATATTACCTCGCAGTTTGTTATTTAACTTCCATTAGTCATCTTATATTATTCCTTACCTGAGGGTAAACTATGACACCACTATGCGGTGAGCAGAGCTGTCTACACCTGGGGGCCATTCGCCTAACGGATATGCTTTGGAAAACGCTAACGCTTACGATTTCATTTTGTTATTTCTAACCGCCTGAGGTTTTCAAATGCCTCGCGCTCTTTTTTTTCTTTTGCATTGGTAATAATAATATTAAAAAAAATGAGCGTGAGGTATTTGAAAACCTTCGGCGGTCAGAAATAACAATTTAAAATCGAAAGCGTTAGCGTTTTCCATAGCATTTCCGTCAGGCGAATGGCACATTTGAACTACTGGCATATCACAACAATTATAAGCATTTATTCTTATAACTATAACTTGTTTTTAGTTTGCTACAGCTCGGTTATCGCAGGTGTACAGGTTGACATGGAGATCAGAAAAACATATTTTCGATCTATTTATGTAACGATGAGTCAACGTAATTTACCTACAATTGAAGATTATTGATCGTTATTAATATTCAGACAGCTGCGGTAACCTAAACAAATGAATTCGATTTTCCATGTACGGTTTTGATACTACGTTTAATTAACTAAAGCTACTTTACTTAACCTTAACTGTGTCTCTAGTCTTGAGTATAAACATTGACTTCATTGACATTAATCCTCGAAGTGGTAATTTACTTTTACTTTCAAACTTTTTGACATCGTGGATAAATAGAAGTAGGTAAATTAACCAAAACCTCTAGTTGGGTTTGCTAATATTGTTCTATGTCATATTGAAAAACATTTACTGGTGATGGATACTGGTGGTAGATTGTGTGAATTCCTACGACATTAATTCCTTAATTTATGTATTAAATAAATCTGTGTTTTTTATCATCAAAGTGTTTGTTATTACAGTAAACAAATTCTTATTTCAAATCTTTATTTCACTTCCTCAGATTTAAAAATATTTATAGTTCTCTAATATTTTATGGTTTAAACCTATTATACTTCTTATCATGGTTTTTGATGTTTTATATTAGTGGATTGACATTTCATCACTGTTATCATTTTAATTACTGCTTTCTTCATTTGAACATTAATTACTGTAACGAGCTAATTTGATGAGTTGTCGAATAAATATGTACCTAGTAATAATGCTTAATTAGTGGATTCAGGTTTATTCTCTTTATTAATAGAACCATCGCATAGTTTAATGTTTTTTGTAATATTCATTCAACGTTATCTGCTAGGCTCATTATAAGATCAGATTTCATAAAAGATAAGAATACGTTTTTGATTAACGTTTATATCTACTTTGAGTTCTAGTAGTTTGGCAACTTTGTCCCAAGTTGTTACATTATTTAGTTTTGTCACGTAAGTATCCATCACAATTTATTCTTTGCTTTGCAGATCTAAGCAAATAGTTCGTTATTAGAGTTACAACTGTGGGAAAGACATCCCTTTTTATTTTTATCAAGAAATTTCCTAGGTACAAGTTTTTACAGTTTTCATATTCATATGATTTCTCAGATGTTTTTTTTTCTTAACTGGAAACCGGATGGTGCAAGGTCAAGGATATTTGAAATTTTAATGCATTAGTAGTACTTCTCAGTAAAGTTTTATTCATTTTAACAACTGTTAATGACATTATCATTTTATTCCCAATTTCTTGCTTTCATCTCGCTTTACAGCCATTTGATGCAAAACTCAAATACGCTTTTTCTGGTGGTTCATTGTGATTGAATGATGATCAGTTTAAGTCATACACTATCTTTGGATCCTCGCCGTACTTTGACCAAGTATAAATATCTTGATAACACGTTTCTTAATCATATGTCTTATCTTACATCTCAACACTAGCAATAAATCGCTTTAGTAATGCCTCTATTAAATTATTTTATTCGTGTTTACAAATGAATGTTTATTCAACTTCCTCCGCCTTATTCACAATGGCGGAATAAAGATAGTCTTGGTTTAAACCTAATGTCGTCTCTGTCTACTTTTTAGCAATCAAAAGTGACAGCATCAGTTTTAGTCCAGGTTTAACTTTAGTCTACGTTTTGTAATAAGGCGCCCCATGTTTAGTTGTAAATTAATTAAAACTAAAATTTATTGTTTAAGAAAAAAAATCATCTTTATCTTTTCTTGTCACTCTTGTTTTTTGTGAAATAAGACAACGGATAATTCCAAATGTTTACAATTAAATAACAACATTGTTTGATAATAAGTATATTATCAAACATAGCTGTTGCGAAGTCATTTTGGTTATTAGCATCTCTAAAGACTTAAACTCTTTTAACGTGGTTTGTTTCTAGAACATTTTAGTCTCGCTATTGGTCACTGAATATAATCTTTTATCAGCGTGGTTAATTATGAAAGGGAACAATCCAATTGAATTGCGCTTGCAGCTTTGCCAATCTGTCGTCGCTAAACAGTTTTTACCGGTCGTCCTTGTTTACTGTCACCGCTGGCTAACGTTTAGTACTATTTTTCTGTGGAGTTTATTTCTTTTACGTTTATCATTTTTCAATTTTAATAGAATCATTTGCTTATATTGAGTCAAACTAAAATTGAGTCAACATCACATGTCAACCAAAGCCAAGTTATTAAAATACGTACCTGAACTTATGTGAGTATAACAATACATCAAATCTTTGATTGTTCTATAATCGTACTAAGTATGGATGTAACCGTATAAATGGAAACTTAGTTAAATAATTCCTAAATTTTTTTTTTGGTTACATAAAAGATAACATCATTGTTGATAACGTAATTTAATCGAATTCCTCTACTATAGATAAGATTTTTAACTTCTCATTTCATTTCTTATGTTCATGCCTCCTAATGAACCAACTTCAAATCATATCACGATGCCTTCAGATTGGAAATTTTTAAGATTATTATCGATTATTTACAAGCAACAACCACAAATCAACTTCCGGGTTCAAAACAGTTACAAAACAAACAGAGTACAGTAAAAAAAGCTTTCATAAATGTTCATTATAATATGTAGTCCACAGTAGAATAAACAAGCTGAATGCATTTTATTGAAGGACTTGTTTATTCTTTTATGCAGACAAATATATCAATATTGTCTTTATCACGCTATTGAACTCGAAATAAAGAAACCGCACCGTAATCAATAGATTAGATATTTGTATTACACAGTAGAGATTTGTTCATAACAATATTTTATTTCGTTTTCAGAGTCCCGGGCGCGGTACAAGATGGCGAACGGTGGCACGACGGGTGCACTGCTTTACGCCGTGAGTGCGGCCGTATTAGGCATGCTCCAATTCGGCTACAACACGGGCGTCATCAATGCCCCGCGCACCTTCATAGAAAACTTCATCAGGGAGCAGCAGTACACCGCCTCTCCGGGCCTCATATTCGCAATCATAGTAAGCGTCTTCGCAGTCGGCGGTATGATTGGCTGTCCACTCGCTAGCTGGTTGGCAGAAAAACGCGGACGCAAACAAGCCCTCATGATGAACGCGCTCATCGGTTTAGTAGGTGCTATCTTCATGGGCGTCAGCAAATCGGCCGGCTCCGTTGAAATGCTCATCATTGGCAGATTCATCATCGGAATCAACTGTGGGTTCGCTACAACCGCTTCACCAACTTACGTGTCAGAAGTGGCCCCACTACGTTTGAGAGGAGCATTCGGAACAGTGAACCAATTGGCTGTTGCTTTTGGCATGGTGAGTGCCCAGATTTTGGGCATCGATGTTATCTTAGGAAGCGATGAGGGATGGCCGTGGTTGCTCGGTATAGCGATCATTCCGTCAGCTATTCAATGTCTCATGTTGCCGTTTGCGCCAGAATCACCCCGGTTCTTGTTACTCGCTGTGCACGACGAACAAAAAGCTAGAATAGCTCTGACCAAAATACGAGGAACTACAGAAATCAATGATGAAATCAACGATATGCACGTGGAAGACCATGCGGCGAAGCAAGAGCAGAAATTCACTATTTTGGATCTTTTCAGAATAAGCTCACTGAGGAAACCACTGGTCATAGGTGTTGTTATGCATCTCTCTCAGCAGTTTGGCGGAATAAATGCTGTTCTGTACTACTCCGGCACTATTTTTGTCAGTGCGGGGTTGAAAGAATACGATGCACGGTTGGCGACTATTGGTGTGGGAAGTGTCTTGTTTGTAATGGCAATTGTGTCAATTCCATTGATTGACCGATTGGGTAGACGCACGCTGCAACTGTGGGGCCTCGCCGGTATGACAGTATTCTCGGTTCTAATGACAGTGGCCTTCTTCACGTATGAGAACAATACTACTATGAGTGTGTTCGCTGTAATCTTTACTTTCTTGTACGTCGCTTTCTTCGGGGTAGGCCCGAGCTCTATTCCGTGGATGATACTATCGGAGTTGTTCGGTCAGGGCGCTAGGAGCGCTGCTGTCAGCGTCGGAGCGCTTGTCAACTGGTTCGCAAACTTTGTAGTCGGCTTGACGTTTATTCCTATGTCCGATGCTTTGGGCAATTATGTATTCTTGCCGTATACCGTGCTACTTATACTCTTCTTCGTTTTCACATACTTCAAACTGCCCGAAACAAAGAATAAAACAATAGAAGAAGTCACAGCACTCTTCAAATAGTGATCGCCTATAACGCTAGACTAAACGCATTCCATAATATTAAGTATAGAAATATATTTTGCAATAAGTTTTACTATAAAATGTGATAAGAGCAAGTTTTCTTTCAAGTGTAGCGTAGTTGTGGAAAATCAGCGCATGACAAATTCGTATTTATGTTTATTCAAAAATATAGGAGAAACATAAATTTAATTTATGTCGACTGTCGTTTGCATAAATTATAAAGACTGAACATCTTCTTGTAACTTTTACTCATATTGATATTTCTAAAACCAAGTACTTATTATAGAATTTTGTAAGAACTATTTCAAGTTGCACATTAGAAAGTACTAAATTAGAAACAAATTGTATAAAAGATACTCTTCATTATATGTATTTATATTAAAGCCATTGCACACTTGACGTTGTGACTTCACGCATATTACAAAAACGCTTAACTGGAACTATAATTTAGTTCTAGTTAAGCTTTCTGGCCAAATGCCTTACACCTTTAAGATAAACTGTTTCGATACATTCTAAACAAAGGAATGCAGCGTCAGGTGTGTTATATTATTCTCATTTTTAAACTGTAGTTGGCGATATTAGAAATCAAACTGTAGTTGATGTCACGTATAAAAAGGTGCTAGGTAAAACAAAAAAATCTGGCGCACCGTATTCTATTCAGTACTATTAGAGTTATTTTTCGTGGCATCTACTGAACTAATTATATATTTAAAAGTACTAGTTCATATTACTGTAATCACTTTATCACAGACCGTAATCGTTTTCTTGTAAAGTTTGAGGGCCAATGTTTTTTGTATTTCTTTTATTTTTTAAGGATTTGTTAAGTTAAAGTCGTCTTTATGGATTTGGTTGTTGTTTTGTTATTATTAAATATACTGACAAATGTTGGGATTTTCCAATATTTGCCAATTTTTTTTTTAAAATAGTGCCTAAATATTGAATTAGGATATTTATTAGGGTTCATTATTTTCTTCTTTCGTAATCGCCCTAAAATGATATTGCTAGTAAATAAATTATTCTAAAATATTTTTAACTGTAATATAACTTCACCGTCCTAGAGTATTTTAGTGCCAACATTTAGATAATAAATTTTCATATGCACTGAATTGTCGAAAGCGTTCATTTCAATAATAATTATTATATATTCGTACAGCACAAGTCATGTATATGAGCAGCTATGTGATTGTCAATGAAAAGGTAGCTGTTGGGCAAATGTTTTTTTTTTATTTCTGTATCTTAAAAGCACGTAAGCTGTATACAGCCTTAACTACCAATTACTATCTGTGAACTTACATGGTGGCTAATGAATAAACTATTTTATATTCAGAGTCAGTTCACATTACGTCGAAGAGTGTTTTCGTTATAACGTTTTAAATATCGTTAAAAAAGTAAATTCGTCAGACCTAATAGTAACTAGTTACTTTTTGCTCAAATTTGTATTAACATAGCAAACCACTCTTAACTTTGGTCCAAATTTTGGTTTGACGACCTCCGTGGCCGAGTGGTTTGTACGCCGGGTTTCATGGCGTCGCCGACTCGAGAGGTCCCGGGTTCGAATCCCGGTGAGGGCAGATGTTTGTGTGATGAACACGAGCATTTGTACTCCAGTCATGGATGTTTAATATGTATTTCTATATAAATATACTTATATATGTAAAGTATATGTATTCTATCCGTTACCCTAGTATCCCATAACACAAGCCTTACAGTGCTTACTTTGGGGCTAGGCTAATTGGTGTGAGTGTTAGAAATATTTATTTATTTATTTATTAAATTGCAAAGTTGTTATTTAGTGACATACGCTATTATGTCCGTTACAAACCCTGGTACTAAATTAACGCATGAGTCGATATAAAATATAAGCGTTTTAGGCAGCAAATATTTTATGTAGGTATATTATAAGGTAAAAAAAATATACAAAGATTTTCAAATTGTTTATTTATATTTTGTTAATTTATTAGACACTGTTTAATGTAAAAACATGTTATAGGTAATATAACTACACATCAGATATTCACAGCTCAATTTAAGATATAATTGTTCAACTTTTGTCAAATAGGTAACATGAGAAGTAAAACATATTTTTTACACGCGAAGTAAACCGTATTTTTCACGTGTCGGGTAAACAAAACGAAAACTACCCAAATACGGGCATTCGACTCAATTCATTTACACTTAGTCGTTTACCCGAATTCCATTGGCAAGTGTAATTAAATCCATTAGGCTTAAAAAATGATTTCTGAAAAACAGTGCGTCGATTCACAGGTTTCGTCAAAATGGCGTCTGTTTGACACATTATAGTTGTACTCTATGTTAAAGGACACAGAGAATTCTACATTTGCATCCCTATTAGATATGTAAACCATAAAACTGTAAATTGACCCCTGTATTAAGATTCTGAAACGAAAGTATTGTCAGTGATAAATATATTATACAAAATAGACTTTCTATTTATAAAATTATTGTATTTAAACTCTGGTATTGTAAAAATATACTTAAATCTATTAGAATTATATAATTTATTTCATGCTATGCATAAAAATCTAAGAAAAGCTTATTTAATTTCAAATTAACATTATACAATGGACTATAGGTGTGACAAGCATCCTTATGAATGTGACAAAAATTGGAACTAACGCCGTCGCCTGTGTAAACGTTATAAGTCATTTACATAGACAGTGGCGCCCTCACTGAACTGTCACTCACATCCATAAAGATTCTTGTCGCACTGTACGTTGGATTGGTTTTGTGTTCAGTATAACTCTATGAACTGCTGAAAAATAAGTATAGACAGCCACAGATCAGAAACCTCGAATTTCTCTGTGAGCTTTATCTTGCTTAATTTTTAATTCAAAATCTATTGAGATAGTTTGTGACTTATATGATGGTGCGAGTTTTTCTGAGCGGTCCAGCCCCAACCGTTAAATAAAACTTAAATGACATGTGGTACACACAAATCCTAACAATCCGAATGTTTTGAATAATAAATAGTCTATTGGAATTAATTATTATGAAATTATTATTTTTGATTGATATTGGTATTTTGGTAAAATATGTTTAAATTATTTGCTCACATTATTAAAAAGCGGGAAAATTATTGTAACTTCTGATTTTTATGCTTACTTATCCGGTTACGAGCACAGTGCCTAAAATGCAAGATGCCACTGCTGCAAAAATGCCTACACGTCAATGGGCTAATAAGCAGATTGCCTACCCATAAATACATTGTAATTGCCTAAATGTTATTTCGTCTACAAATCGAAATGCCTAAAATGCAATATGTCTCTTTAATGCCTAATGTGCAAGTTTGTTTGGAAACTCGTGTTGTAAAGGGTTCTTGTAATTAGACACTAGCACTTGAAAATTATAAGATAGTCTATTTTGTCCTTATGCTCAGTTTTTAGTTTAAAAAAAATGTATATTTAAGGCTTGTTTATAGGGTATTTATTTTTAAGGAAGATTTGTTTTTAGGTTTTAAGGATACAGTTATTATTATTATTTAAAGATTTCAAAATGACGGTTGACAGCAAACATAGTCATCACGATACATTGTAGTCAATCTGCTTCTTAGTCAATTCGCGTTTTAGGTATTATTGGATTAGTGGCATCTTTCATTCTAGCCAGCATACTTTTTAGTCAAAATTACATGCCTAATAATGCCTTATTATTGCAGCAATCGCATCAGACATTTCAAGCACTGTGCTCATAACCGAAATTATGCTTCTTACAAGCAACAAGTTCTATATGATAATGATACAAATACATTAATATATTTTGTAAATAATCTGATATCACTGCTCCGATGCACTCATTCGACATTCAGTCCCGTATTTGAAAATCATGTATAGTATAGTATTAATATTTACTCAATGAATATAATTTAAAACAAATGTATAAAAACAATTTTATGCTAATGAACAATTATTGTACCTATGTCACATATAGGCAACTGTAAAAAAGATACGAATTAAATTCGTCTGTTGATAATAAACTATAAATTACTTTGAAAATGCATTTTCTCTTAATCGAATACATTGATATTTACATCTTCATAGTATTTAGAATTGTTGGTAGTTCAGGTTACCCTCCAAATCTCAAAATACTGCGGAAAATTTAGGTTTTAAGTGACAAGAGGTCTTTTGTATGGAGTTTTTGGTGCGAATTGATCGAACTACCACTTGAATTGATCCAATGACAATGACGTCATACGTGTTTTGACGGATGAGTAGACGTCTCAGTGCTGCCAACAGGCGCCCGTCATTCCAGAAAACACTCGTTTATTTTGAACTTTGAAAGCCAACCACTAAGGTTTAAAATGATTGAAGAATTTCGAAAGTTTTAAACGACGTGAAAAGCTGCTATACAAAATAGGGAACCCAAGTAGTTTTTTTTAAACTATCATACCTAAAATACTCTACTTTCTGAATATAATTGAAGTACCTATAAACGATATTTTGGTGGGAAGGTACATTTTAACAGGTATTAAAAAGGTAGTTCTACATAATAGGTATAATTTTCATTCATCACCACAAAGTGCAGAAAACAATTGAAGAGCCTCGTCCTGTTCTTCTTCTTCCACTTCACCCTCTAGCCAAAACGTCTCCATCATTCCTTTTCCCTGAAAAGTAAAAAAGGATTTCATCAAATCGCCATGACATCATCTATCGGGAAATTACGTCATGGGATCAACAGATAATAAACTACTTACTATATAAGACTGTTGTTCCAGTCACCTTAAAATCGGCAATATTTCCTACTCTTAACAATCCACCATCTTTATTAAATGTCAATTGGTAGGTGTGGAGCTCGATGGCGCAAGTGGTTAGCGCGTTCGGCTACGATTGTTGAAGTTAAGCAACTTTCGCAATGGTCGGTCATTGTATGGGTGACCAAAAAATTTACTATCTTGAGCTCCTCCGTGCTTCGGAAGGCACCATAAGCCATTGGTCCCGGCTGCTTCTGCAGTCTCTAGCAGGCACCAATTCGCACTGGCCCGCGTGGTTGGCCATGGTCCTATCTCCCTATTTCATCCATAGGGAAACCTGTGGGTTTTTTTTTATTCTGGACAACAAACAGTCGTGTACATCTACATTAGTCTTTGATTACAGTTATAGACCTACTCCCTTATTAATAAACCAAAAATATTCTATAGCTTGGATTATAAGTCCATGTTTTGTCTTTGTTTAATGAATGACAAATGGCATTTGAGTGTCATGAACAAAACACGGCGTAAGTAGTCTAAGCTTATTCCTTGTTTATTAATAACGGGGCTAGAGTGCAATATTAATAGGCTGATGATGAAATAGCTATTACCTTAACTTTTATGAGACCTCGACGTCGCAGTCTGAATCTGCCGGCCGGTAGCTGAGCAGCTGCTTTGGCAGACACTTGGATACGCCCCGGCTGGAAATAAGTATAATATTTTTAAAGGTAAAGCAAAAGGTACCAACAATGTGAAGAGATGGCGCTGCCTTCCAGCCTAAGAGGGGCTTAAGAAAATTTGACACGGCCATTAGGGCAGCGGTAGCATAATGGTCAGTGCATTCGCCCGGATAGCGAAGGGTCCCGTCTGCTGCCTGGTCCGCGCGAATTTTTTTCATGTAAAATTTTCTTTTGAATTGAGAAACTTTAAAAGTCTATGTCGGTATCAAAATGCGGCTCCAGTACGGAACAAACAAACAAAAAAAAACGCAGATTAAGGCAGACCTAGATAATTAAAGCACCATAGATATATAATTTTACCTATACTAAATGTAAAGAACATATGGAAATCTAACGGATACCTATTAGGGGAGACCTAGGAAAATTGTGACAGAGGAGAGTTGTGACACAGATGATTTCTCCCAATTTATAATAATTAGCGAGATGGCAAAAACGCTTTTTTGTAGCTTAGATACGTGCTATTTTACTCAGTACCCGCCGGCGACGCAACAGAAGCGGTTGCGTAATTACATACAAAACTACAAACTACGTACAAAAAAAACGCTAAAAGTAAATTTTTATTCAAAATTTTGATTGAATTTATATCATGTCTTAACACATGTGCGTTGTTGTGTTTATTTTTTTTCTCAAGTTGTATGGTTATATTAGTCTCAAAACGTTGCACCGATCTTTTGTGTTTTCATTGTATTTAGAAAATTTTATATATTATTCGGACAAAGTCGTGATTTTGAGCACCTAGGAAATACTAAATACACAGAAACTAATGAGGAGTGGGTGCAATGCCTAGAACGCAAAGCTGGTTCACACGCAGATTGTACTGGAGGCAAGCTTCAATAATTTTATCAAAATTACCTTTAAGATTTCATCAGATTTTTGTCTGAATATAATCTTGAAGATCTCGAATCCATGCCATAATTACTTAAAATATATTAAATCTTTTTATGGCAATGTTATAGATATTTGATATGGTAAAAGATGATAAACATTACTTATGGTAAGAAAAGAAAAACATGTTTCATTATTTTTAATATTTGTTGGTGATTTTGAATACTCAAGTAGCCTAAGGTAAGTTGTTACCTGTCACAACTTACCTCGATGATAGGAGAGTTGTGACAGAAGGAGTCCGTAAAAACCGTAATACCTACTTAATTTGTATCTTAGGTTTTCACGTGCGATGACTTGACATTATTCTGACGATGCAGACCTGAAAAGGCTGCGAAACGTCAATAAATAAATAAAGTTCGTGCATTAACCCGTTAAAACTAGTTTTATTTACGTAATACTTAAATTAATTTTGATAACTGATTTGAAAAGGGAAGAAATTGTGCTATATTTATTCACATAAGCCATAACTGTAAATTATTCCAAGAGTGAGATACCTATTTTCCTAAAACTAAAAATTGTAACAGTTCTCCTAGGTCTCCCCTACTTATTTATTAAGTGTGAATAGAACCCAGGCAAAACAGTTAATATTTTTTTATAAAATGAAATATAATCGGGCTGGCTCGTTTTAGAAAGATATAGGTAGTTGATGGACTGACAGACATCGTCTCTATTGTTTCAAAGGTAGATATGTCTGTATTTTCTTTTACGTTTTTTTTATTCAGCTGATTGTCTTCTTTATTCAAGGTTTTCACGCACACCACTCATTAACTAATACAACTTTCAATGGCATAGATCGGTATCGTCTGAATTATGATTCAAACGACGCATCCTGAAAAGCATGTGAAACGTCGATAAATAAATAAATCAGTGCATCTATACGTTGAAACTTGTTTTATTTCTCTATTCAAGTCATCAAGTTAATTTATTTTTTGTTAACCTCTGACGTAGTTTGCATTCGGCTGGCAGTATTGACCGTGTCTCCGACCAAGCAATATCTTGGCAGCCGCAGCCCCAGGACGCCGGCCACGACCGAGCCAGAATGGACACCTGCACAGAATACGAAAGTTTTTATAATGTTTTCAAAATCAATATTTCTTTAGAGTAAGCACTACTAAAGTTGCCTACTAAAATTACATTACCAAAGTATTTCGCAAATTTCTATCTATTTTTATCATATTGGCTTTTAAACCTCAAATCGCAGTCCAATCACAGTCAAAGCATGAGCTTACATTAGTAGGCTCTGCAATACAGGAGAATCACTCTTGTGGTTGCTTGACTCTGAAATCCCGGCTGGCGCTCCAGACACCAGTATGTAAACTGTACCCACTGTCTCTGACTATAGACAACCAGCTTACCTATAGTGAGCACAGGCAGTGCCCTAGCGATGGCGAGCGCCGCGCTCGCTGCTGAGGCGGCGTGTGTGCGGCTTCGGTCCGGCGCTCCCGACACCAGCATGTAAACTGTACCCACTGTCTCCACCTGGAGAAAACGGATAGAATTAAGTGTTTACCAGTAAATATGTTTATCTGTGAAATTGACAAGGGGGTACATCAATGCAGCGCTCAGTGGTAAGTTGCGACGGCATCGCAGTGTTGCGGTGTTACGGCAAATTGGCTGTGCTTCGTTCACACAATTTAATTAATTCACAATGTCGACCCAAGCCATAGCTATTTTACAAGCTTAATCTAATACTCCATTAATAAATAAATAAAGGAAAAGCACCTTAGCTTGAACTACAGTTATGCAGTGTTTTGTCTCTCTCCATCCAATTTGAATTTTAACATTATTTTGAAAAATGTTAACAAAACTGGATAACAAGTCCAAACCTTTATACAGGGTGTAATAAAATCCTTTAACGAAGTCGATGGCCACGTATTTACTACATCATGACGATCATTTTTCTTCTATACCATACCTAGGAAATTTATGGTTATGGAGATATTGAAGGTCACTCACATTTATTTTTAAGATTTATACATTTATATACATATTTTCACAACGTTATTAAGAAACTTTTTTATCAACGCACTTACACACACGCACACATATACACACGCACACATATACACACAGGCACATTCTTTGCGTAGCGCCACAGTAGTGCCCCGCGCTATACTTTCCGTACTGTTTTTTTTTTTTGTATTTTTTTAACTTAAAAATACAAATGATTCCCACGTATATTATTTTGTAACATTACTTGTTTGGGTGTACAGAATGCGTAGTTTAAGGCCCGTATTACAGAATGACAACTAAGTGTTGATCTTTACTTAAGTAGCGTTAGAGAGGGATGTCCCTATGTGACTATGCTCAAGACTGAGAATCATTCTATAATACGGGCCTTAGGGCGCTTTCAATTTATGCGTTTCTTGACGGCCTGCTGCGATGCCGAAGCGGTGCGTTTGTCGTACAGCATACGGACGATCCTTTTTTCATACAAAACGCGCGGTACGGCTACAGTCCTGTTGTCGAGCGTTCGCGCTACCGGCGCCGCACTGTTGCCGCATCGCGCGTTTTGTATGAAAAAAAAAAGGATCGTCCGTACGCTGTACGACAAACGCACCGCTGCGGCACCGCAGCAGGCCGTCAAGAAACGTATAAATTGAAAGCGCCCTTAGTCTTTGTCATAGGATTTTTTACACCCTGTATATATTTAACGACCATAAGGTATATTATACCTTGTACACTCGATGTGTATCCAGTAGCCGGTCGATCCTCGAATACAAGTCATTCATATACGCAACGGTTTGCATTACGTCCGCTCGCGACTCTGCCTCCGACAGTTGAACGCCGCAGAATATTATAGTCACTCCATCGTACGCCTGTAACATGAAATCGTTAATTCATAGTTACTAATTCATATTCTAAGATGTTATTTATTATGAATCATGTGTTGACGACACTATAATTGAATTTAAAACTGACTGATCACTTAGGGAAGAATATCAGACTATCTAAGAATGTTTGAATGACAAAACGGCGTGGTCGTGATTTGTTTTTGCTTTTGTAATTGTTTGCAGTGTCCTACAGATAAATAACCTTAATTTTAGGTAAATATGTTGTAGTTAGTATATGTGGTTATGGGTAGTCATGCTCTCTTAAAAGTCTCTGCGGTGGTGTCGTGTGAGGCGGGTCGTTACGTTTCCTAAAATATGGTTGCGCGAAGCGATGGCTGGTTCATGTGTCACGCTCGTAAACGGGCGCTGACAGCGTAGATAAGTCTTCTCTAAGTACTTTGCTATTGAAGATGTTAATATCTAGTTACACCTAATATAAATAACACTATTTGTATTTATACTGTATGACACAGCAATCAAAATGCAGAAGAAATTGATGTATATTTCACATTATGCAATGAAAGGTCATTATTCAACTTGACGACTCCGTAAATAATAAAACAGGGAGAAAACAACAGCCTTTGCTGAGTTTCTTGCCGGTTCTTGCATGGCTTCTCTAGCAACATTGACTTGGTAAAAATTTCCTTAACAATCGAAATATACCTGACAAGCCGCCATCGGATCTTTGCCAGCTCTTAAATGGTCTGCGATCTGTTTGGGAATCATCGAATACAGCAATTGGTCTCCTCTCTTCTTCCATTGATCGCGGAGGCGGCATGATTTCTCCAGCGATATGGACCTGGTCTCCGCTTTCTCGAAGAGTAGTTCTAGTTTGGAAAGGTGCTGCCAGCCTTGCAGGAGCATCTCCTTGGATAAGCCGTGACCGTTCATATCGGCGAGGTATAAGCCCGCTAGCCGGAGTTCCTCCAAGTCATTGAAACTGAAAGATGATGAGAAATCGATATAGTATTTGGTTCAACAAGATGTATCGTTAATTCCAAGAAAGTTTTTTGAAATACCAAGTTCCAAATATAGAAATTTATTTAAGTGTTTTCGGTAAACTGAACAAATCTTAAAGAGGCCTGGGTGTGCAGCTTTTAGGATGTTACTGAAATAGTGGTTTGCTTAAAATAATTGGCCTCGTGTCGCCACCGCAACATCTCCAACTCTAATTTCATTGTCTACCTACATGCATGATAGGTACCTACTTACCTATCGTAATATTATATTTCACAATAAACTAGCACATACATGGGGCTGCACAGGAATATCGGGGAGTCAATCTCTTCAAGCAAGTATATTCTGCAATAGGGTCTCTTTAGCAACACCGGGCGGGACCACTGCGAGTCGCGCACCACATCAACTCTAACTCGAATATCTTAGACAGCATGCATGATACCTGCTAACCTACCATAAATCTATCATAGTTCAACCATAGGACACCAACTGCTGAGCAAAAGTCTTTCCTAAGGATCACCACGTTGGTAGGTCCTGAGCTGTTTGTATCCAGCTGCTTCCCACGACCTTCAGTAGATCGTTGATCTATCTGGGCATCTGCCTATTGAGTGTCGCCGTCGTCCGGTGCACTGTCGCCACTCCAGAAACTTTCTGCACCAAGAACCGTCTTTTTTCCTCGCTATGTGACTGCCATTTCAGCAGAGCAATCCTTCGGGCGATATCGGCTACTTTAGTTCTCCTGCCGACCATTTCTTAATCTATAACACAGGGAAATACCGAGCATTGTTCATAATACTACTTCACAATAAACTCTAGCACATTACATGGGGCTGCACAGGAATATCAGGGCGTCAATCTCTTCCAGCAAGTGCATGGGTCCCTTCAGCAGCACCGAGCGGGCGCCCTGTGAGCCACGCCGCGCATCGCCCGCGCACCGCGCCCGCCACCGCATTAACTCCAGCTCGAATATCATCGTCTGCATGCATGATACCTAGAACATTTAACATATTAATGAGCTTAAGAGGATGAAAGGATTTCCTGCTTGATTTGGAGCGGCTGGCTGAGTACCTGCCTCTCAACGCGCGAGTGATTCTTTTGTATCGCGAGCGTCTATAGACTGTTGTGGCCGCTTACATTCAGGAGGGCCATTAGGATTATTATAAAAAGAAATCACAAGTGAACTCTAATGGACGTCTAACATTTATTCAAAGTCATAATCGAAGATTAATCGTTTAAGACTTTAAGCTTAAAAGCAAAGCAAAATCTAAGTAAAGCATTTCAAGTAAATTAAAGATCATACTAACCTTGTCCCAAGTGAAAGATACTTTAGGTTTTCTCAATCGTAGTATTTCCGATATTGGTGACCTTGCCATACGTCCGCAAGGTCCACCCCACGCTTCGACAAGCTGAAATTATTGAACTCTATTAAGTTGTCATCAAAAAGTTTTTTTTCTATTTACATCCGTTGATGAATTCTTACTGCCTTGCCTAAATAATGATTTATTTATGTAAAAAATTACACACATACATGATATAAAAATAAATAAACAGAAATGCGCGAATGCTTAAGTATTTCGGTTCTGATAAAATTTTCTTTCCCTAAATATACTTATATATGTACAGTATATGTATTCTATCCGTTAACCCAGTGTCCCATAACACAAGCCTTACAGTGCTTACTTTGGGGCTAGGCTAATTGGTGTGAGTGTTGGAAATATTTATTTATTTATTTTATTTCTTTCTGTCAGAGGGGCCGCGAAAGTGACCAGGGTAAGTAATTACACATTATTTTACTTCCTTCGTAGCACATTTCTTTAATGTATCACGGCTTTATTTACTGGTATCTTTAAATGAGTCTACATTGAAAATACTATAACCTTTAGTATCATTATTTTCGAGTATCGCTACTTCACCTTTTCACCAGCCATGAGGACTTTCATACGGCGGTCCAGCATAACTCCAAAAGGGAAAAGCTGCAGCAGAAGTGAGGCCGGGACAGCTGGCAACAGGCAGGGCAGACTCTTCTTCAGCATCAGAGATTGCACCTGCAATAGGTCCGCTTAATAGGAAACAAAGGACCCGCCCCGGCTTGGCAAAGTGACAATTTACGAGTATATTTATTTATAAATAAATTAAAGCTAGGTAATCACTTAATACTCTACTAGTAAAATAAGTTTCAAAATCGGTCCTGAAACTCCAGAGATTGTTTTCTACATACAAATGTTACTACAATCTTAATATATATAAATCTCGTGTCACAATGTTTGTCCTCAATGGACTCCTAAACCACTGAACCGATTATAATAAAATTCGCACACCATGTGCAGTTCGATCCAACTTGAGAGATAGGATAGTTTAAATCTCAAATTATAGTCGCAATTTTAATTTATTGCAAATTATTACTTTTGGGCGGTACGAAGTTCGCCGAGTCAGCTAGTACATTATATGTTCTTTAATTGCTATAGATAGCAAATGTCACCATTCTAGCTGCAGTGATTTTCTGTAAGAACAAAATTCCTTTTCTCCTCGGAATCCTGGGTTTGATTACAAATAAGAATACGAATTTCAAATTTTGTTGTTACAGAATAACAATGCTGCTATTCCAGATAGCTGGCTATCTACAGGTCTCTCACACCAATGTGAGAGTACATGTCTTGAATCTTTGACTCTCACCCTACAGGCGCGATTACACTTGGACGTTAGACTCAATACGAATGCCAATGGAATTCGGGTACTGTGTAAATGGACGAAGTCGACGTATTCGAGTAGATTTTCTTTTGTTTACCCGATATCGTCTTCCAGCCCGTACCTATTCTACTGTTAATAAAGAGTTTGCCAATGACTATCTTTAAGAAACGCTTAATGCAACTATTAATTGACAAAGTATACTATAATACACAAGAGTTCCTTAGTGACACTTCCTTGAAAGAAATGGACATAATTAACTTATATTTTAGTCTATTATAGCACAATTTATTATTATTATTAGTTTGACATATTGCTTAGTAATTTTGACATTTAATTCTAACTATGACTTGTTTTATTGTAATTGTAATTTATTAATATGGATTTTTTACCTAATTATTTCATTAAAAATATTGTATACCTTGTAATAAGGTCGAAATGTAATGACACTAAACTTTTATCCTAACACCAATTTGCTGTACTAACCTACATTTCACAATAAAGCATTGAATTTGTATATTGTTTCGGGTGCCCGAATTCAAGTATTGTCTTTCTTGCACCCGAATACGGGCTAACGACCAAATGTAATTGCGCCATACCATAACTTTCTTTAATAACCACTAAAAGCAGCACAGAACGCTCTACTAAATAAAGTTATGTTATAACTTATCTACAGCGGTTCCTGAGTTAGAGGTATCATCTTTATATAATATCTTAAGATTGAACGTGGAGATTGGCCAGAGCTTAATAACATTACTGAGTTACGTGCGCTACACTCAAACCTAACATAAACATAATGGGAAAACAATTGAACCACCTGGAAAGGTGGAAGTAGAGAATAAATCTAAAAATGAAGAACGGAGATAATCATAAAAAAACATGTTGTTTTTAAAGTATGAAACTAAGACCCTTGCCATATAGATGAATGGAAGATAATATTAATTACGATTATTAACTGTTATATCCAACTGACAAAAATTACATGGTTTTTTAAATATATTTATATAAATGTCGTAGATTTATTCCCTTCTTCAAATTTATCAAGTTGAATGAATAGAAACTACTCAGAATAATTACAAATGTGTGTTTATTCATCTATATAGGGAGACTAGTTGACCCAGCAAACTTCGCAATTTTCATAAAAATAGGGGCAGGTGATAGAAGAAAAAATTTAGGGGTGAATGTATTTTTAAACCACATTTAACAAAATGTCCAAAAACAATTTTAGTGTTCTATCAATTTCCTGGGATAACATTCCTCCTAACCCATATGAGAACACTACGTTTACCCAATAGTTTGAATTTTGGCGCGCAGGCGCATTGTAGGTTTCAGAACACTACGTTACAGGTGTACAACCATTATCACTTAAGGATATAAAAATAGATAGTAGCCGATTCTCAGACCCACTGAATATGCATATAAAATTGCATAAAAATCGGTCAGGCCGTTTCGGAGGAGTATGGTAACTAACATTGTGACACGGGAATTTTATATATAAGATAAAGCTGCCAATCTATTCTTTATCATTATCAATCGCCTCTGACGTACAACGTCAAGCACGCTAAGTCAAAATAGCATCATAAAATTCTTTAAATTCTTCTGGAATGATTGAGTTTTTTAAATGTGATTCATTTTCTTTACATTTATCGGTATTTTAGAAGCATATGCTTGTGCCACTGAGGTGGTATTTTTGGGTTACCAGAGACTTTATGAAGCAAAAACGTGGATTTCATTAAGCCATTTATGTAATAAGTTCAGAACATACTTGCTGCCCCTTATGACTTGAAAAGCATAAGTCATAAGGACCACCAAATATGTTCTACAGTACAGCTACTGTACTCAAAGCTTCTCTCTCTCTTCAAAGTTCTCTCACAAGCAAATTTGAGAGATCTCGAATTTTCTTTTCTTGTCTAATAACTTGCAAGTTTTCTTGAACAATCTTTGCCATGTCTGCTTAAAATCAAGTATGTCTTCTAACGTAATGGGTTTGACGAAACATTCTCTAGTTTTTACTGCTGATATAAGATTATCATACTATGACAACGTTAATTCTGTCTATCTCCTGATGAGCCTTTTTGCTGTCCCGAAATTTAATAATATCGTAGAAATATCACACTGTCAATACGAATACCCACGCACCGAAAAGTATTGATACATCTTTTCTGAATGACCCATTGTAGTAAGGGTGAGAAAAAAGCTTGAGTGTGTTATTTTACTCTTGACACCTATCAATCAATAAATATCAATGTATCACTAAAAATTGACGACCTCCGTGGCCGAGTGGTTTGTACGCCGGGTTTCATGGTGTCGCTGACTCGAGAGGTCACGGGTTCAAATCCCGGTGGGGGCAGATGTTTGTGTGATGAATACGAGCATTTGTACTCCAGCCATGGATGTTTAATATGTGTTACTATATAAATATACTTATATATGTACTGTATATGTATTCTATCCGTTACCCTAGCATCCCATAACACAAGCCTTACAATGCTTACTTTGGGCTAGGCTCATTGGTGTGAGTTCAAAAAAAAAGAACATGGGATGGATTCATATTCTGTATTGTTTTCTATATATTTTCATATACGCATATTTCAATACTAATGTACTATTTTAAAGTCAATTCTATTTGAATATATATCAGACAAATGTGAACTTTATTACTTTGGAAGAAGGCGTGTTAGTTGGAAGAAGGAAATAGGTATATCCCGGATTTGTTCCCTTCTTCCAAGTCCCTTAAAAGTGATTTATTCCTGTCTGCTGACGCACACGGTAAGGTTACGTATAAAGTACACAACGACATGTAAAAGTGAATTTGGAAAAAAATATGTTTATTCCCTTGTTCCATTTGGTGGTAAATTTTTGTGTTATTTAGCCTGTCACATCCATCTCACTGAAGCAATATCCGTCCACTCAACCCGCCTTTGCAACTTACGCGATGTGATAAGCAATTTTTCCTTTCCTTGGCTTATAATATAAGAGATGGAAGATAAGAGATTAACTCTCAGATTCAGAGGAAATCTCATCTCTATAATCTATTATGAGTAATTTTATTGAAAAAGCTTTTCATCTACATAAAGTTTATATATATAGTTTGCGATGTTGAAGTTTTTATTTTTTCGTCTTAAATTTCTAGAACACGTACAAGTAATTGAGCTTATTCCTTGTTCTGGGTCGATATGTGGTTGGTCCAGTGATTCCTTATAACCCACTCAAAATATATAGTACTTAACCTAAACAACAACAGACATAAAGATGCACGTAATTTCAATTTAGTACTTATTCTTATAAGCGTCTTTTAAATGTACTGAAGTTTTATGTCTACGGTCGTTTAACTGTCACCCCAAGCACCTACTTCAGTATGTCATAACTTTGAAATCTCTCAGGTCTTAGCAGGCTTGCGGTCTCGTACTTTTTCTGACAGCCAAGATTTATGCAGGGCCTCCGTTCAATCCTACCCTTTGTATGCGCCCAACTGGAGTTAAACAGGAAAGCAATATCCTCACATTCAGATGGGATGGGGTAGGTATAATTAATCCACTTAAAAAGGTCCGCTGGCCACCAAACGTTTTGTAACGCATAGAAACAAATAAGTGAGTTGTCTGATAGCCTGATTAGCCTCAAAATGATCTATTTAATTTTAGTTTTTTAAGCAAATGCATAGTAAAGTGGAATAAAAATGTACGTAGGTACACAACTTGTTACAAGTGTATCTACTCGTACATATTCCATACCTTGGATGATGAGTGATCAAAACCTTGAATGCTTTGTAGTAAATTGATGATTTCCTATCCTTCAACTACCCGAATTTGTGTATGATTATTAAGTTCACCGTGCTGGTATAAAACAAAAAATATACCACAACAAGATCAAACAGTAGAATCAGGCAAAATCTTTTCACGTCTCTCATATGGTTCTTTAAATCTTCCTATATGGTCCATTAGATTAGCCAGCTGATAGACGAACAGAAAGTGAAGGCTTCGTAAGATAGAGTTCCGTAGGCTTCCCCTTTCAGCGCGGGATCCTAAAAGTTTTTACCAGCAAATTCGGATATTGGCTCAAGACTTTGATCTGGCATAACCTCTCATTGTTTGCCTTTGCAGCTACCCTAACCACGCAAGACATGAAAGTACGTTGTCCAGCATTAGAGAACCTTCTGCAAAGCTTAGGATTGCTGAAATTGAAACAATGTTTCTTGAGATATTTATTATTATATTATCTTCAAAGTACACGTATACCTTGAATCTTTGTGTCTGTCATTCGTTAGCTAATACAATAAGTACCTACTATATTTGCACTATCCTACTCTCGTTTTCAGAATGCCGTTTATTGAACTGAGACAAGAGCATTCTTAAAATTTATA